AAAAGTAATAATGTAATGGAAAAAACTCAAATGGGAAAAGTCTAATATATGTCACTCACCAAAAATGAGAAACCTCGATGTGTGACAATAAAACAAACTTCAAAATATAAAGACCATCATCAACTTATTTAATGTAAATATGCAAAACTTACATGACCCCAGGTGAAGGTTTTAATATACAAATAGTTCCTACAAACTGAAATAAAAATCATAAAAGAAAAAAATCCGAAGATAAAAATGATAAAGGAGTAAAGAATTCTTCTGAGCTACTGTTACTATGATTTCAATCTCTGCTGCCACGGAATCAAGAACACTGACTGTGGATAGTGACAACTCTGTTCTTGTCTACTGTAACACTGAACAGGAACTGGTGGGCTTCTGGGATATGTTTTAGGAAGCACAAAGGATTAAAAAAAGAGCAATGTCCTTTTCCTCTTTCTATTCTATCTCAGAATCACTAGATTTCCAGTTTAGCCTAAAATCCTAAAATGAAAATTGAAGACTAAAATAATAAAGTAATAATAATAATGATGATGATGACAACAATGTAAGTCAAGAAAACAAGGAACATAGGGTTTTGCCAAAAACATGTGAAAATTACCTCCTCGGCATGGCCATTTTTGATCCAACTTGTTAGTTCTGCCTTTAAGCTCTCTTCATATTTTCTAGCATCCAACTTTTTAATGACTATTTTATTCTTAAAATGAATGAATTTCTCTGGATCGAACTCCTTGAAAAGAAATGTCACAAAATTAAATAAAATCATGCAAGAAAATCCAAAGATGTTTCTCAATTATGCATTTCATTTAACAGAATTACAAGCTTCTTGAGAGTACAGATTATTGACGTCTTTTTATCCCCCCAATGTTTCCAGTACATAAACCTAATAGGATGGATGAACTCTTCGAAGAAAGAATGCAGAGCAAAACCACATAGAAGATGAAAACAGGCAGCAATTAGGGTGTAAAGAGAAAAGGAGAGTACAATGAGAAAATGAAGGAATATGAATCCAAGATGTAAAAGGAGACTAAAATATCCTAGCATCCCAGAAACTGAAAGAAGAAATATCTTCCGGAATTCAATGGCATTACACACCATTAAAGTAAAACACAATATGTTAGCAAGAAGAATGTCTTAGAAGGGGTGATTTTATTTTGGAAACAGTCTATAATTTTAAAAATTAGATGCCCATGATCAGAAAAGGTGAGACTTTGTCTTTCTGAACAGCAATGTTACCATCCACTATAATAAAATTAATTCAAGTTAAATGTGTAATTATTTCTTACCTGGGCCCTGGGCCAGCTTTCCCAGAACTGAAACATGGTATCATAAAGCTGGATGGTTTCTCGAGGGGAAAGGGTAAGATCAGAAGGAAATCCATACTTTTCAATCTACATTTAAGATAAAATTAAAATTTTTAATATTCTTTCATTTTATCTATGGTCTGTCCTTTGCCCTGCGAACCTGTGTAAAATCTCTGAACATGAGACTGCATTATGTCAACAGAGTCCATGTCAACATAGTAACTGAATACGTTATTTTTGGAATGTAAGCATTGTGTGCTCTTATTAATACTACTTGAAAGTGGTAAATTATTTTGCCTCACTAAAAAACATATATGTAAGATAAATCCAAAAATTATCACAATTTTTAAGATATAAATCTTATTTCTGTCACTAGAATGCTTGTGATTTCTTAAGTCTCTTAGCCTTTTATAGAAGGCTGAGTTTCTTTGTTTCTAAAATGGACAATTCTGCCTGTGCCATAGATTTGTTGCAAGAATTAAGTTAGATAATGTATGTAATAAGTCTAGTGAAGTACCTGTCACGTGGTTGATGCCTCAACTGTCAATGATCAACTCACAAGTCTTAATTTTTTTTGTATTTTCTCTTAAGATTTTTTTTAAGATTTTATTTATTTATTTGAGAGAGAGACAGACAGAGATTGCCACAGAGAACATGAGCGGGGAGCAGAGGGAAAAGCAGGCTCCCCGCTGAGCAGGGAGCCCAATGCGGGACTCAATCACAGGACCCTGGGATCATGACCTGAGCCGAAGGCAGTCGCTTAACCAACTGAGCCACCCAGGCGCCCCTCTAATATAATTTTCTGAACTTCAAATGGAATGATGGGGAGTTAAAAACACTGATGAAACACATAGGAAAATCTGAAGAACTCATGGCATTCTCTCAGAAGACAGAATTGCTATGCTTTTGATGATCTGGAGGTGAGTTTGTGTGTGAAAAATGGAAAATGAGCCTGAATAAAATATCTTTTCATTGGGAAGATTTCTTTTTTCCTAAGTATTTGTCATTGATTAAGTCCAGCCCTTCTCCAAAATGGAAAGTGAGCCTGAATAAAATATCTTGTCATTGGGAAGATTTCTTTTTTTCTAAGTATTTGTCATTAAGTACAGTGCTTCTCCAAAGGCTTTGAGAAATTAAGTTCTAAGAAGCAGCCAATGGTGAAATGGTAGCTAAGGAGAAAAAAAATCAATCATTCATAATTTTACTACTTACCTTTTACTTTACATACAGAAGAACGTCAGGTACCTACTTTGAAGGGCATGAAAAACTTCATCCCTTCAGTTTATGCTTTTAATCATCAAAATGATGACTAATCAAAGAATCATAAATTTCTATGATGGGCAGAAGATGGAAAAACATCCCCAAACCTCAGTCTGCACACTCTTAATCTAGGTCCACTCTGAGCCACACCTCAAAATAAAGTGGACATTAGAAGAATTGAAATGTGTGTAGAATTAATAGAGAGCACTTGGCTGCTTTGTGTCCTGCACTTAAGTAAGGAAATGATCCTCCCATTCCTGAAAAGGAGGCAGGAATTTTTAAAGATATTCCACTATCATCAATATAAGAAAGATAAAGGCATATTCTGAATTGGAAGTCTAGTAGACTGAACCTATGAAATTGTACTTTTGTAGGTAAACATATTCAATTTATCAGCGATTTTATATGGTTCAATCTATGCAGAAACACACCATTTTATTCCAAATTTTATATCCATCAATTTTACATTTATTTATAGAAGAATGGCTACGATGGTGACAGGTGTAACATGTAAATATCTAAACAATTGCTATATTGTTTAGACTACCAAAATTGCTCTGGGCACATTTACATATAAAATCCTACTGACAGGGGCGCCTGGGTGGCTCAGTTGGTTAAGCGACTGCCTTCGGCTCAGGTCATGATCCTGGAGTCCCGGGATCAAGTCCCACATCGGGCTCCCTGCTCAGTGGGGGGTCTGCTTCCCCCTCTGCCCTCTTCCCTCTCATGCTCTCTGTCTCTCATTCTCTCTCTCTCAAATAAATAAATAAAATCTTTAAAAAAAAAAAATCCTACTGACACAGGGAAAACATGGAGGTTGCTCCACAATGATACAACTGGATGACCCAAACATAACTTTAAAAATATATATATGTGAATTCATCAAAGTACCTCCAAGGAGATGGTCTATTTATAAATAATAAACAAAATGAAAATTTCACTTTCTTTAAATGGAAAAGAATTTCCATTTTGTCATTTCTAATGATAAAATAATTTTAAATGACATGACTCAATATTAAGTTCATGCCAAATATAATATGTAAAGCCACAATAATGAGAAGCTCCTGAGATCACATTTAATCATAAAATACAAATAAAATAAAATTTTTGTTTCATTCAATTATTACCTGCCATGTGTCAGGAATAAAATCCTGAACCCTGGGATCTGGATCTTTTCTCTCATCTCGTATCAAATAATGGCCCATGTATTGTAGTTGAAACCGAACTGGCCCAATGCCAATTGAGTATTTATCTGTTTTCTTCATGTCATCTCTTGCAACCTACATTATTTGAAAAGTCCATTTGGAAAGTGATTTTAAACTACATTATTTAAATAATTAAAATATATATTACTGAGTACTTTTTATGAGAAAAGGATTTCACCACCTTTTCAATTTTGTAATATTTATTGAAGAAGTTCTTTACCATCTAAATCATTATCTTAACTGTGAGTATATTGATAGACATCAAGATTTTCAAATATCCATTATGGTATCTGTAGCTACAATCTAATACATTTAAAAACAACTGAACAATCACAACATAGCTTTTAAATTGTTTGCTAGAATTAAACACAGTATTAATTTTAAGGGTCTGCAGAAATTATCTGGCATTTAACCTGTTTGTTCAGACAAGCATTTGTATCAGTTTTCTAATTCTAGATTATTTCAAGTTTGGGCAGCTGAATTACTAGTAATGACTTTGAACGTAGGAGTAAATATTGTCAGTTGAAAAAAAGAAAAAATCTAGAAGAGGTGACTGTATTTGCAAGACACTTTATGTACACCCCATAATTATTCTATTAAAATGGAGCTATTCTGAAAATTACCTGGGTTGGATATAAAGAACTTGCCAATTCATCAAATCCTAAATACTTCAGGCATCTGGCTATGAGTTGCTGATCTGCCTCCTGCAAAAGTTCTGGGTATTTTTCCATCAAGGAGTGGATCCTTTTCATCATTTGAACAGCTATATTTAAATCTTTTGTGGTTTCACCTTGGCAAATAATAAACAATATAATTTTTATAAAGACCATGAAAAATAATGTTAGATTGCCCAAGATTAATCATCCAATCAATCTGACCTAATTAAATTCACTATCTTATTTAACATTAATAAAGGTTTTAGAATACAGAGGACTAGGTAAAATATAATTAAAGTGCAACTATACGCACTTCATCATTTCCATGGATAACTGGAAAGTAGCTGTGCAAATAATGGAGACAAAGAAAAGCCTTATAGTTCATGATAGAAATAAGATTGTTAGAGCTCAAGGTTGTATAAGTGTTCTGGGGAACAACAAATCTTTTCTCCACCTATTATTTTCATACCTCCTCTACTATGGTCAAAGAAAAATATTTAGATGACTTTAAATATCTGGTTAAAATCTTTGCAAAATTTATTGAGTCCTACTGTTGACAATAGATAACTATTTGGTGTAATCATTGGAGGTTGCCAATTCAGTCTATTACAACTGCCAAATACAGACTTTGCTAATTCTTCTTCATTTCTGTATAGTTATATACATTCTTTTTATTCCTCCTCACTGCTAATCTTTCCATACTTGCCATGTTAGGGCTGTTTTTAATTCCAACTTTCTTCCAATAAACCTATATTTTAGCTATCTAAAAAATATTACCAAACACCCACTGAATGCTATAAGAGGTGACAAAAAAAATTTAATGTAGAATTCTTCCCCTCAGGAGAGTAAGCCACTTAATTCTGATCTTTCTTAGTAGCAGTCAACTGCAAATTCTGATACAACATCTTGTTTGGGGAGAAATATATAAGCCAAATCTTATGCTTCTCACTGTGACAGAATCCACAGTGAAAGGCTGACTGCTTTAGAGCAGATTGAAGTAAACAGAATGAGAGTGGGGAGGGGGGAGAAAAGAAGAACCTGGTGACCATGTGTTAAATGGATTTCAAGTGTGGGGATGCTCAAGACAGACAGATCAACTAGGTTTACTAGGAAGAATTGTCAGTTTGGAGCTCTTGTGGCACATGATCATTTCACCTGTTATCAATTTACATATCTCTACCCAGGTTTATTTCCCCTTATCTTCCTCTTCCTGTCTCTTCTTTTTTATCCTACTATGTGTTATAGAAATTGCAAAGTAGAGCACACGGGAGCCACAGCAACATTTAGAAGAACTCAACATGGTCAGCGAACATAATCTTTAGTTTTACCCAGAAAGAAAATGTTTGCACTTCAGATCTCAAAAATGAGTGACAGATTCTCCCAGAGTGCCTCACCGGCTTTGCTGGTTCCCTTGACTATGCCCACAGTTTTATAAGTAGTTATCCTTAAGCCTATCTTTGACTGATTTGATTTGAATTTGCTTAAGAATGTGCTGTATATTTGCTATTTTGAGATTTCATTGTTCACCAATAAATGAAGTAATCCTTAGAGGAATTTTGTAAGGATAAAATCATATAATGCATCTAAGGCTTCTAACACAAACTTCCAGTTAATAAATGACAGTTATCATCATTACATCCTTTTATTAATTCTCCAGTTCATCAAAACAAAAAATACAGAATCACACACCTTTACCTCTGCAATGTTCTTTCCATGCTTTCAAGCAGGCAGTTAAGGCTACCATTTCAACTCGAAATTTCACTGAGTTACTTTTACATGATTTCAAAAACTCTTCCAGGTTCTTTATTCCAGAGTTTAAGTTTTCTTTCATTTCCTCCTCAATAGAAAATGACAGAACACTCCATTTTTTCTCCTCTTTCTCTTCTTCCTTAGCAAATAACCTCTTTTTATTCTCTCTAGTAATTACTTCAGCCTTGGTCTCCTGCCCAAAAAGGGGGGGGGGAGCGAAAGCATATCATAAAACAAGTTGGAAATATTCCAAGATTAAATTTCATATATGAGACAATATTTTTAAGTGTATATTGGTTATTTTGACCATCATCCCATTCTTGAATAGGAACAATTTTTAGGTTCAGTATTTATTTCTTAAAATTAAAGCCTCTGTTAATTGAAAACTTATTACAATTAAATTTAACCACTATAAAGCCTCCGCAGATAATTCTGTAGATTTCTGAGTTGTATAGATTATAAATCAAAGAGTAAATTAATAAAATTGGAAACATCAGGCCACTGTTTTCTCATGTCTCCTGCATTGGTTCTTGCTGCTCTCTCTAGAATGGATTTTCCTCTTCCATTCTTCCATGGTCACCTCCCTGTCTCCTACTTGTCCTTCAAGATATTTCTTCCATGAAGCCTTTCCTAACTCCCAAGCCTAACTCATATATTCCTTCTCTGCCAGGGCATCTCTCTATCAAAGTACTCATTACACATACTGTAGTTATGATTTTACTTGTCATACCTCCGATCTAGATTAACTTCCTTGAAACAGAAATATGCTATAGTTGTCTGTATGTCTCAAGCACAAAACATTTAGCTTGTAATATTTGATAAGTGAATGAGGAAAAGTGAAAGCAGATGAAGGAAAGGAGTGGATAGAAAGGAACAACATAAATACAACTGATTTGCTTTATCTAGATAAGCTTTTCCAATTGACTTAAACTCAATATGGACCCTCTTTACTATACTTTTACCAATCTGATTTATTAATCTGCAAAAACAAATTAAAGAATTGTATTCACAAGAGAATTCTATAAACCTTCCACTATTCTGGTTAGTCATGAAATTAATACATAAATTTTGTCTACAATGAAGTCAATATTAGTTGTCTGCACTTTCTCAGTACTTAATTCTAATCAACATTATTTGAGGTTTCCCAATGTTTTAATCTGCCAAATGTACTGTTCTAGGTTAACTCAGCATGGTTCTTTCTCAATAAGACAAGGGTGACCTTGGCGCTTTGCCATGCACAATGCTTATTATATCCTGAATATGCAGACTTATTAAACGGTTGCTAGAAGAGCACATTTATGTAGTGCTGAGAGTGTTTAACTCTAATGAGATAATTTATTTAATTTCTAATAATGTAAAAGAAAAAATGGGATTTTTTCAGTCTTCATACCTTATACTATGTAATGAGAATTTTTGCTGCAAACTTTCTATTTTATAACATCGCCCTTAAAAAAAAAAATAGAAACTTCTTTGTAGCCCTAAATGAAAATGGAAAAGTTGTAATTGGATGATTTCACCAACAATAAAATTGACTATGAAAATAAAAAGGAGGTTGTCACTACAAGGAGAAAAACAGTGACCACCTACCTGGGCTCAGAAAGGCTGCTTTTTAGCTACTAAAGCAAAAGTGCCCATTTCTGCTCGGACTTTTTAAAAAATGTCAGCTTTACTGAGTTATTATGGAAAAATATAATTGTAAAATATTTAAAGTGCACATCATGGTGATTTGATATATGAATACATGTAGTTGAATTTCCCCCATTGGGTTAAGTAACCCACCCATTACCTCACACATTTATCTTCTTGGGGGAGAAAACATTTAAAATCTACTCTATTAGCAAATTTCAATGATGCATTAGAGTGCTATCAACTACAGTCACTATATTTTACATTAGCTTCTCAGACACTATTCATAGCTGAAAGTTTGTACCTTTTTACCAACCTCTACCTATTGCCCCCACCCACCCAGTCTGTGGCAACCATTTTTCTACCCTCTGCTTCTATGAATTTGACTTTTTTTTTAATTCCACATGTAAGTGATAACATGCAGTATTTATCTTTGTCTGGTTTACTTCACTCAGCATTGCCAGGTTATCCATGTTGTCACAAATGGCAGGAATTCCTTCTTATGGATAAATAATATTCCATTGTATATGTATATATCATATCATCTTTATTCATTCATCCATTGATAAATGTTTACACTGTTTCCCTATCTTGACTATTATAAATAATGCTGCCATGAACATGGGAGTGCAGATAATCTCTTCCATAGCTTATTTTCATTTCCTTTGATAAATACCGAGAAGTGGATTGCTAGCTCCTATGGTAGTTCTATTTTTAATTTTTTGAGTAATCTCCATATTGTTTTCATAGTAGCTGCACATTTACATTTCCACACACAGTACATAAGGGTTCCCTTTTCTCCAAATCCTTGCCAACACTTGTTACATCCTGTCTTTTTCATGACAGCCATTCTGACAGGTCTGAGATAATATCTCATTGTGGTTTTGACTTGTATTTCCCTGATGATGTTGAGTACCTTTCCATGTACCTGTTGGCCATTCATATATCTTCTTTGAAAAAAATTCTATTCAGTACTCAGTCCATTTTTAAAATCAGATTGTTTGGTTTTGGGGGGTTTTTTGCTATTAAGTAATATGACTTCTTTAAATATTTTAGATATTAATCCCTTATCAGGTGTACGATTTGCAAATATCTTCTCCCATAGAGTAGACTGCTTTTTCATTTCATTGATGGTTTCCTTTGCTGTATGGAAGCTTTTTAGTTTGACGTAGTCTCACTTATTTATTTTTGCTTTTGTTAGCTTTGCTTTTGATGTCAAATCCAAAAAAAAAAAAAAAAAATTTCATAGCTAAGACCAATGCCAAGGTCCTTACCCCTGTTTTCTTCTAGGAGTTCTGTGGTTTCAGGTCTTTTATTCAAGTCTTTATTTTGAGTTGATTTTTGTGTATGCTGTAAGGTAGGGTCTAGTTTCATTCTTTTGCAGGTGGCTGTCCAATTTTCCCAACACCATTTATTAAACTGTCTTTCCCCCCCATTGCATATTCTTGCCTTTTTCTTGAATTAAGTGTATATGTGTGTTTCTGGGCTCTTTATTCTGTTCCATTGATCTGTATATCTGTTTTTGTGCCAGTACCATACTGTTTTGATTACTACAGCTTTGTAGCAGATCTTGAAATCTGAGATTACGATACTTCCAGTTTTGTTCATCTTTTTCAAGATTGTTTTGGCTATTCAGGGTATTTTGTGGTTCCATACAAATTTTAGGATTATTTGTTCTAGTTCTGTGAAAAATGTTGTTGGGGGTTTGATAGGGATTGCATTAACATTGTAGATTGCTTTGGGTAGCATGGACATTTTGAGCACAGAATATCTTTCCATTTTTTTGTGTCACCTTCAATTTTTTTGTGTCACCTCCAATCCATGAGCACAGAATATCTTTCCATTTTTTTGTGTCACCTTCAATTTCTTTCATTGATGTTTTATAGTTTTCACAGTACAGGTCTTTCACCTCATTGGTAAAATTTATTTCTAGGCATTTTGATGCAATTATAAATAGAATTGTTATCTTAATTTCTCTTTCTGCCAGTGTGTTATTTGTGGATAGAAGCACAACAGATTTCTGTACATTAATTTTATATCCTGCAACTTTACTGAATTCATTTATTAATTCTAACATTTTTTTGGTGAAGTCTTTAGAGTTTTTTTTATATATAATGTCATGTCAAAAGCGAATAGTGAAAGTTTTACTACTTCCTTACCAATTTGGAGGCCGTGTATTTCTTTTTCTTGCCTAATTGCTCTGACTAGGGCTTCCAGTACCATTTTGAATATCAGTGGTGAGAGTAGGCATCCTTGTCTTATTCCTGATCTTAGACAAAATGCTTTCAGATTTTCACCTTTATCATTATATAATAACTTTCCTTATCTCTTAATACAGTCTTTGCCTTAAACTCTATTTTCTCTAATATAAATATAAATACCCCTGCATTTTTTGGCTTCCATTTGCATGGAATATCTTTTTCCATCCCTTTACTTTCAGTCTGTGTGTGTCCTTAAAGCTGAATAAAGCTGAAGTGAATCTCTTTTAGACAGCATATAGTAGGGTATTTTATTATTATTATTATTATTATTATTATTATTATTATTATTCACTCATCCCCTCTATGTCTTTTGATTGGAGAATTTAGTCCATTTACATTTAATGTAATTATTAATAGGTATTGACTTACTACGGCCATTAATTTTTTTCTGACTGATTTACAATTCCTTTGTTCTTCACTTTTTCTCCTCCTTTGTGATTTGATAGCTTTCTGTAGTGCTACGCTTGGATTCCTTTTGCTGCTTTTAAAGTATGCAGATCAGTCTCTTTTAGGGAAAGACTGGGAATAAGCATTTCAGTCTGCTGCCTCTGTGCCCTGGGGGGGATAGTCAGGATATAGTCTTGTGGGTCCTGTGGATGCAAGTTTTGTTGGCATTCAAAGCTAGATGTCATGAGGGGCCCTTTCTTCAGATGAAACTCAAAAGTTGGGGTGCCAAACCAAAAATCTGATCCCAATCCTTTCCTCCTGAGAGGAAAACTGAGGCTTGTGAGTTTTCTCCCAATTGTATGTCTCTGCAACAGGGATGGGGTTTATAGGGAGTGTATGTCTCAGCCTCTTCTGCCTGTTTCATTGTGGGATTTTTCTCATTTGTCCAATGTATAGGAGTTATTTCTCTAGTTTCTGGATTGCTTTCAGAGAGAATTTTTCTATATTTATCTGTAAATTCTGTATGTCTATGGGAGAAGATGAGTTCAGGAACCTCTTATATTGCCATCTTAAACCAGAATTCAAAAGAACTATATTTTTAATTTTATTTCAACATTTCTAAATCTAAGCCTTTAGTAACCTATTGTCTTATATTCTTTTTCAAATACATATACATTTTATTATGTATACAGGACCATATATAACCTTGTATATGGAGGTTAGACTTTCTTACCAAGTAAATAAAATAATCTAAGTGATCATATATAAAAAGAAAAAGCATAGCATGGAAAGAAACTACCAGAGGAACTGAACAAATAGCAACTTAAGAAAAGTCAATAAACAGTTTTAAAATTTGATAGAATTAATAGAACCTACATGTGCCTTTTTGTTCTTGGGTGCAATGAACTTATCCTTTGGCTTGACAGCTTGAGTTACAACAACTTTTGGAGAGACTGATTCTAATGATTTCCCATAAAATCGTTGAAAAACATGATACTTCTGCACAGACCTGAGACAACGAGGATCTCTAGATTTTTCTGAAAAAAAAAGACTTAAAATGTAAAACTACTATATTTTTTCAACAGCATTCTCATTAATTCTTCATACCATCCCACCCACACATGTACTTTTTAGTTTGAAATAGTAATTTAGTAATTTAGATTTACCTTTGTTAAAGAGGGAATCAAGTCAGGCAAATTCTTGTCTATGGAGTAATTCCTTACCTTATTTAAAAGACGGAAGTGACAAAACACTCTTTCACTGCCTACGTCCTAAAGCAAATATCAGGATGCTACAAAGAATAACAGATTCTGCATATTACCTCTGTTATTTGCCCTATGAATGAGTTTAAGAAGATAGAGGCAAAATCAAGAAGATATCCATCTTGGATATCCCGGCTTCTGGCACTGCTTGACAGAAAAATCCTTACTCTAAACCATAACCACAGAGCCAAGAGCTTGGCAGCTGAAAAACACTTTCACTATGGAAAAATCCAAAGACATAGGAAATCCCAACAATCAAGGTATGATTTACTTCCATACCCAAAGAAAACTACAATTAAGGGGATAATTAAGCTGGTTGATTTTTCTATGTCTGTATCTACATACATCAAATTAAACCATTTTGAGGGATATTAATGGTTAATCTAAAAGATCCCCTCACATCTTGCAGGATCTTAGTAGCTGTTTATGTAAGCAGGCTGATAAGTATGAGCGAGCTTACTATGCACACTCCTAGATTCTTCTGAAAGTAAGTTTTGTCAACTTGAAGGAGGGTGGAGGTGAGATAGGGGTAGACAAATATGGATGAAGACAAAGGATTAACTAAGGAGACAAGATCCCTAAATCAATCTCTGTTGATCTACTTTTAGTGGTTTCCTGGGCCTCCTTTTGCAGTTCCAACCATCCTGAGAATGAAGGTATATAAAATACTGGCACTTGTTACACGTAATCAACTGGGTAGTGTGAAAGTAGCTGAAATTACTTGAAAGACTATTGCCTCGGTATTATGAACTTCAAGGAATACACAAATATCTTAAACTACACACCATATTTATTTAAAACAGTTTCATATTTTGTGCTGACAAATGCAGTATTGGTGCACTTCCTAGGACATCAGCATTTGTGTTCCTATGACTCAGTAAACAGAGTGGGCCTTTTTCATTGCCATCTTTACTGACATACATCGAAATATCTTGTAGACTATTATTATTCAAGAAATATAACCTGCGGCTCATGATATGATAATTTTGTATTACAAAATAAAAAGAATGAAACTGATTTTAATTTATTTCACCAGAGTCACATAACTCACCATCAAATTGACACTTCGTCCTGTCATAATCATCACTAAGGGGTCTGTGAGAATGCCAATGCACAAGTTCATCAAATTCCTTTTGTTTAACTAGTGAAGTTACAATAGGATCATCACTATGAGACAAAAAGAAACATACGCATATTTTAAATTTCATGCCTCTAAATAGAACACAGCACAGATTTCATTTTTTTAATATTTTAAAAAATCATAGCCACCTTTCCTCTTTCTGTAATATGATGTGGGTGTTAGAATCCAAAAAGCAGTTTATTAGGTGCTTAAGAACCCAGAATCTACCCCACATCTCTAACAGTCCCATCAACACCAACAAATATTCATTCATTAAGCCACGAATTAACAACATCCAGCTGGAATAATTTTACTCTAAGATTAAAACCATGTTGATTTTAACCTAGTTAAGATCAAAGACATTGATAAATTTGTTATTAAACTCATTATTTGTTACAAACACATATTGCATCTAATATACTCCATTTAATTTGTTGCATTTCATAGAATCTTTAATGAGTAAGTCATCCATTCCACCCATTTACTGAGACATTTTTGGTCTTATACCTCTTTAAGAAAGGCAAATCTGTCAAAAGGTCACCAACAAACTTATCAACCACTTCACATGACATTGAAATAAATCCCAAATTAGGAATGTTTTCCTTGGCAGTATCTGTAAACAAGTAAAAAAAAATTAAGACAGTGTCAAATGTGAAACTTTCACATAGAAACATTACACATCATGTTCTAAAACCTTATATTAAAAAACATTTTTCATTGATTTTAATTACATTTATCAATTCCAGACCTTCCCATAAAGCTATTGCCCACATTAAAACATTCTGGAACATAGCAGAGTATGAAGAAATAGGCAGCATTTAGGGATGTTGGTAGGTAGGTAGAAAAATAACTGTTTCCTATTTTTAAATGTTTATTTCCTTCATTGTCCCTTATTACAAGGAATTTGAATATGGAACTCTCACTCAGAGACCTCCTACATAAATACTTTTATGGAAATGAAATGTTAAAAAAGTAGGGGAAAATATATGGATAATAATGAAATAATTTGATATCATCACAGTATTTTCTTACATCCTCTTTGATATTATATGTATGTATATATATATGTATCTGCACATATACACATACATGTGATAGATACAATACATATCACACATATATCCTATATATAATAGTGGCTAATGAATGCCTTTTTATTTATATCTGGTTCATAATTCTAGGTAAGCTGCCATTGCTCTGCCCATTATCCCCTTGGTGTTCACTGTTCCTGTGTTTGCCTGACACCTTCTTACTACAGGTCTCTGCAACTCTCTGCCTGAGCACTTTTCTTCTTACAGCCATGTGAAGAAGGCCAGAAGTGCTAAGGATTCAATGCCCCAGAGATAGCCTCAGCCAAAAGTATGCCAGGAGTTGCAGGTTAAATGCCCCATCTATCTTGCTCTTCAGGTAAGACATCTCTGAGGTGGTTTGTACAACATTCTAATATTCCCAGTAAAATCTACCTGTAGTTGCCCACAGTGGAAACCTACTCATTAACATGTCCTACATTGGTTTTATTCTCTTCCTGATCTTACCTAACCACTCCCTTATTTGATCTTCAAACCCCTTATTTGATCTTCCTCAAGAGTCTTTGTCTGGTAGAACTTATCTGGACATAAGAGTATATATATTCTTCCCCATATTCTGAAAAATATACTTATATCGATACATCCCAAATTCCCATTAGATTTCCTTCTCACGTTCCTTAGGGGGATATTTTATTCTTCCTGAAATTCATCAAATGGAAATATCTTCCATGATACTATAATGATGGATAAATCAGTTTCTGTATTTCTTTTCTTAAGATTTTATTTTTATTTATTTATTTGTCAGAGAGAGAGAGCACAAGCAGGGGGGGAGCAGCAGGCAGAGGGAGAAGCAGACTCCTTGCTGAGCAAGGAGCCTGATGTGGGACTCAATCCCAGGACCCTGGGATCATGACCTGAGCTGAAGGCAGACGCTTAACCAACTGAACCACCCAGGAGTCCCAGTTTTTGTATTTCTAAAAATGTTTATATTACTTCTTCATTCTTAAATATTTTAAGAAACATATAATTTCACTATATTGATTTCTATCATTGTTATAGAGGAAGTCTATTATAGACTTTTTGTTCCTTTCTAGGTAACTTGTTAAGATACTCATTTTCTATATTCTATAATTATACTATATTGTATCCAGTGTGTGTATTTATCTGTGAGTGTGTATGTTCATATGTTTCATTTATCCCACTTGGGATTCATCATATATCCTAAATGTGCAAATTCTTGTCTTTCCTCAATCCAGGCAAATACCCAGCCATGATCTCTTCAAATATTGTCTAACCCACATTGGCTCATTCTTTCCTTCTGAATCTCCAAATGAATAAAAGGCTAGACTTCTTCATTATATCTTGTTTTTTTGACATATCTTTTATATTGCTTCAGCTCTTATTTCTTTTGTTTGTTTTTTTAGGTTTTTTTTGCAGATTTATTGAGATGTAATTGACACATAAGCTTAGGGTGTATAACATGGTTATACACCTCATCTCTACTTTTAAGTATAATTCTTTTGATGAATTTCTAGTTCACACATTCTCTTTAGCAATATCCAATCAGCTTTTTAACCTATCCATTGTCAATATTTTCATTGCTACAACTTTGATTACTTTAAAATATGAATGGTGTTTTATAGAATTTTGTAATTTTCTCATGTTTCAAATTTCATATTTTATTTCTTTGAGCATTTTAAATACACATATAGTATATTCTACTTTTTATAATTACAAAATATGAAGTTCTAGCTCTATAGCTTACAGTTTCTCTTAGATTATTTCCTCTACTGCTTTATAAATTCATATTTGTACTCATATTTGGCAGAATATGAGTAAAACCTGTATCTTGTAAAACCAGGGTTTATGATATTTTTAATTTTTATTTATTTATTTGTCAGAGAGAAAAAGAGAGAGCACAAGCAGGGGGAGTGGCAGGCAGGGGGAGAAGCAGGCTCCCTGCTGAGCAAGGAGCCCAATGTGGGACTCAATCCCAGGACCCGGGGATCATGACCTGAGCTGAAGGCAGACGCTTAACTGACTGAGCCACCCAGGCGTTCCCAGGGTTTATGATGTTTTTCCTCTACAAAGAATGTACTAGATTCTTCTGATCACTTTAAGCTAATTTTCTGGCTTAGAGTTGTCTTGACACTACTAAGAATAACTGAAACCCCAAATTCTTGGGAGGATGGGCCTATAATTGGAAATCATCAGAGTAATTCATTTTGTATTAGCCAGAGATCCATCTCTCCCTTTATTTTTGGCTCCTGGAATTGCACTTCTATTGTTTTGAGCTTAGCTATGATAATACAAAAAGATGTTTGGTGTGTCTTACCAGCATTTCAGTTGTTTCCCAAAAGAGATTTTTCCCCTAACCTATACTGCCATATTGATAGAAATTGATAGAAACAGAAGTCACATATATCTGGCTTTTTTTTTTAATTGGCAACAACATTAGCTACAAGCAAAACATATAACTCTTCAAAATTATAGTCATAGCATATTCTCCCAATGATATAGCAAAAGGTAATCTTATTTTTATTTATTATTATTTATTTATTATTTATTATTTAAATGCATAGTGCCAGAAAATTATTTAGATATACAGCATTTAATTAGTAGTGTTTTCAAAAAAATTTCCAGAGATCTGAACTGTTATTTCAAATTAATTTAGAGATTTATTACCTTTGATTGGTGATGGATTCTTTTCAAGAAAAGAAAGTTTTGTTGTTCTCAGAGGAAATGGCTTTCCAACAGCAAACTTTCTGACCAACTTTGACACAGTATTCCAGAGATGTTCATAATCTTTCATAATGACATCTCCCAAATTCAAATGTAGGCCTATATAATAGTTAAATGTACTAAATATTAAAAGTCATTCCTATATATACAGAAGCATGCACTTTGACTAAATTCATCGAGTTCTGAAATATTTGTCAGAGTGAAATTTTCAGTGAGTTCCACTCTGCACCTAAATGAATAAATTACAGCTATCATAACAGTATAATAGATTATGAATATCTATTTTATAAAGTAAAAAAAGGTTATGACACATATAATTTTACAACCAATAAAACTGAATATAACTTATTTTTCAGAGATAAGAAAATTTGTAGAGAGTTGCTAAATTTATATGCAGCTAACTCATTCCAATATTTGCAATGTGTAGGAACCAAATTCTAGAGGTCAAAGAAGCTTCAAGAATACTCAATGAGTTATAGCTCTCTTAAAACATGTGTTTTTTTTTTCTTTGACTATTAAGAAACAGCAGAAAATTTATTCTAACAAAATAATTCAAAGAAAGAAAAACAAATTACATATAACATATAAATCAGCTTTGTCTTTGGAAAAAAATTAAAATTTCCTAAATATCTCATAGTAGTAGGATGATTACCTTGATTAGAGTAAATATTTTTTAAAATGTAATGCACATATTTATTTTTTTTTATATTTTTATTTATTTATTTGAGAGAGAGAATTAGGGAGAGAGAGCATGAGAGGGGGGAGGGTCAGAGGGAGAAGCAGACTCACTGCCAAGCAGGGAGCCCAATGTGGGACTTGATCCCGGGACTCCAGGATCATGACCTGAGCCGAAGGCAGTTGCTTAACCAACTGAGCCACCCAGGCGTCCCAAGTAATGCATATATTTAAATGAAAATTTCAACTATTAAAATTATCTAGAAATGCCAAATACCCAAACACATATTTTTCGAGAATACTTGAGTATATTAAGTTAAAAATGTTTTAAAATATAACACTCACTCTGACTGCAACTAAATAAAACTTATATACATGTATAAACAAAGATTGAAAGGAAAATAATTGCTATGTTATATGTTGGACATAGAAAAATGATTTTGAAGTTTTAAAGACTGTATAATGTTTATCTCTGGATTAAAGTACAATTATTATAATATACTAAGGTGGTACCTTCAACATTTTCATTTTCATAGTAAAAAGCAATATTCTTCAACAAAAGTTCATCACTTAAGTCCGAAAGGTGAATTAAATTCAGATTCCAAAACTCACAAATGTTTATATTACTTAGGATGAAATATTCACACCACTTTTTCTGAAAATTAGATATAAAACCAAGTCATTGACAATTGTTATATTAACAATAAACTATAATACAACTTCAAATGCATCAATAAACCAATGAAAGGCAAGGTGGCAAGGCTATTCCAATTCTTATTAATATAAGTCCTTTCAGGCTGGATAATGATGAATGCTTTATATCGTAAAAGGTTAGATCATAAAATAAAACCAAACTGGCCAAAAAATTAATTCAGCATAATTCTTTATTCTGAATCATAGAAATCTGTGTTTGACTCAATACAATTTTTTTCTTACACAAATTCACAGATGTAGTCCCAATGCTACAGAAATACTTTTGTTTTCAAATGTGCCTCTGTTCTTTACTGAGGTTTTAATGTTTTCCGAGTCTACTTTCAGGTCAAAAGAGGATTTAAGAAATAGCATTTGATTGTTTAGGGGTCTAGAAGATGCTGAATCCTTCAAACTCAAAGATTCCCTTCCACCTACATTGGTGTGCACCTGCTGAGTTTATAATAGTGAGGCTACGTTCATGCCTAACAGAATGTCTTCATGCCTAACACAGACAGAATGTCTTCACTGGCCACACTTAGTTCAGAGTTGAGTAGACATGAGTAAACAACCTTAGCGAGTGAGAGCTTAGTCATCTTTTCCGTCAATGATAGTGTTTGGGGAATTAAGTTCAGTGGGGGAAAACCGAGGCTTCTCTGCTCCACACTCCCTCGATGATAAAACCAAATGCTTTCCAAATGTGAACAATTTATTTATCTATATTGATGTGGAAATAGAACCCAGAATTATCCAACACAAATATAACATGGGTAAGCTGCATATTTTATTCTAAACTTCCAGAAGTCACATTTTTTTAAAAACAAGCAAAATTTTATCTTATTTAACTCAACATATCCAAAGTATTATCATTTCAATGTGTAATCAATATAAAAATTTTAACAGAGTAGTTTACATGTTTTTCATACTAGTTTTTTTTTTTTAATCTGGTGTTTGTTTTAAGTTTAGAACATATCTCATTTCAGACTACTATATTCCACTTGTGGCTATGGGCTACTGCTTTGGACAACATAGCTCTAAACAGATGTTAGGGAGATTGCCCAAGGTTCAGGAAAAGTCGTAAATATCAAGGTAGGATCCTCCTACCTATAGTGTAGTTTTAACTACAATAAAATACTAAAGAGCTCTCCACAGAGCCATAGAACAGTGGTTCTCCAACTTTAGCAGGAGCCTCACCTGGAAAGATTGTCAAATAAAACACAGATTGCTAGGCATCATCCCAAGATTGATTCAGTGGCTATGCGATGGAGCCTAAGAATTTGCATTTCTAACAAGCTCCCAGGTGATGCTGATGCTGTTGGTCAAGAGAACCATACTTGGAGAACCACTGCCATGTAAGGTTCTCCCCACCCAATCCTTTCCCATAATACCACTGAGTAAACAAATGGTAATATGTGAATATAGTACAGCAAACATTCCTCATTTTATTAACTTCAATTAAGAAGTGCCTCCATATGGTCTCCAAGTGTCACTATTTGAGCAAACATGAAACTCTCCTTTCAAAGTTTGCTTAGTTGCTTTCTCCAGAGACCTCAGAATATGCCTTTTACTGTAAAAATTTCAGAGGCTTCCTGAATTTACACTTCCAGCTACTGGGTGCTACCAAAATGAAGCATGGAGGATAGAAAAGACCAGAGGGGTGCTTGACTATGGGATAATCAGCTGTTTCCCCTTATCAAGGGAGCAGAGGATGGTGGGAAGGGCACAGATTTGGAAGCTGGACAGAAATGCAGTTATCTCCCACCTTGATCATTTATTAGTTGTGCTAATGGGCCACTTAGGCTTTCTGAACCCAAGTTTTTCAACTGTAAAATGAAGACATAAGAGGAGTATTGTTATGTCTTTATGAGGTAATATAGGTAAAGTACACACATAAAACTGGTGCAAAATAACTAGCAGCTATTTCTATCATGTCCGCAATCCATGCCATCCTAATTGAAGAATGATGTTTTCTATCAGCTAAAACCACAATGTCTTGCAGAACCATCTTAGAACATTCCATAATTTAGAAAAACTTTGTAATATCCTTTCACCTAACTACTACTGTCCATAAAAATTGTTTATAAAACTCTTTATAAATGAAAGTTTTCATTTATATGGAACTTACATACAGAGCATTCATCTAAAACTGTAAATCAATACCACATTACATTCATACCATTCAGTAACTGAGTATATGTAATTCAACCTTCAAAAAGTTGACAAAAAATCAAATATTATCTGAGAAATAACTTTACAACAAAACTCGTAGCACAATAATATTGATGTTATAATGCATTATTTCAATATCTGACATGTCATATCAATAGGTTTAATGTATTAGTCTGACATGACTTTTATTGAAATGTCTAAAGTAAATTAGGGGTGCCTAGGTGGCTTAGTCCGTTAAGCATCTGCCTTTGGCTCAGGTCATGATCTCAGGGTCCTGGGATCAAGCCTTGTCTCCAGCTACCCTGCTCAGCAGGGAGTCTGTGTCTCCCTCTCCCCTCTCTCATTGTCCCTCTCCCCGCTCATGCATGCACTCTCTCTCTTTCTTTCTCTCTCAAATAAATAAATAAAATCTTCAAAATTAAATAAATAAAGTAAACTAAAAGGAGCTGGAAATACAGTCTTCCTATTCCTTTAATTAACCATAGTCAGCCTCTTCCTAACAGACTATCAAAATGCCTAGAGGAAAGTTCCCCAATGGGATTTGAGATATAGGAAAATATTTTCTCCCCCAAGCATCAGCAGAACCACATGGTATTTTGTATACCACATCATAAAACCTTTTACACTTCTGTTAGAGCAGTTGTAAATGCTCACAAATATAAACCTAGATACACAATCAATGTATTTTTCTGTTTCTGAACTTTGTTGATCCTATGTACACATTATGCTATTTCAGTAAATATAATGTAAGCACTACAAAGTAAAATCAGTCCAATTCAATTACTTCCTAGTCACACTCAGATCAAGTCTCTTCATGAGTCCCCCATGCCAGGCTTTGACAAGAGTGTTTATACACTTCTGGTAAAAAAAAGAAAAAAGAAAAAAGAAAAAAGTGTGTATAAAAAGATTTATACATTTTGGTAAAAAACGGTGCCCACCATTCAGTATGGCTGTCTCCATTTATACCTCACTCTTCAGTATTCTACACAGGCAAAAAATCCAGGTCCCTTGAATAGAGATTAAATGGTCAGTGGCTGTGGAGTGGCTTCCATTTGGTTCCATGGAGTTCATAGTCTACTGAAATACAGTCCTCAGATTTAAAGGGGTCTTTTCCATGTAATTTCCCACTTATCCCCTCATCTGGCTTTTGAGAATTCTGTAAAGACTAGCAGCTTTCCCTTCCCTCTCAATCAACTAGCATGACTCCTTTAGAGCCTACAAGAACTTTCAGACCCTCGTTCAGGAAGTACAGGGACCGTTTCCCACATTTTCATGGATAGACACAACATTGCATTTTCCAGTCCAATTCCCTGGCACATATAGCCACAGGTATCCTACATGAGACTAGCTATCTCCCGGTCTATGTCCTGAAAACTAAATCACAGGTTCTCTCTATGCACAGACCTCTGAAACTTTAGGGGGATTCTATCATGCCCTTCCCACCCCACTCATGGTGACTTCATTTATTCTCCAATTCTCTCCCCTCCTCAATTCACGGACACTTTATGAGGAAGGTGCAATGTGGACAGAAAAAGGTGATTGTCTTTTTCAATAATATTTGTTATATATAGATCAATATTATTCTTTCAAAGGGCAGGAAATTTGACTTTTTTTTCCCAATCCCTAAAGTAAGGGCACATGCCAGTCCAACCAGAAGTTGGGGTTGTAAGGAGGGAGGTCATGCAGAAAAGATCTTATCACAGGAGTTTTTTACCTGATAGAATTTAGGGAGTTCATGAACTAGATCAGAAAATTATATTTTTATTTTTGCTAACTTGTAGCAAAAATGTATATTTTCAATAATAAACCCAGATGATATGTCATATTCCTATGCCATAGCTGGGATTTGGCACCAGTAGAAATAACATATTTTCACATTACATTGCAAGTGCTACAAACATCTAGAGATACTGTTTATACTTATCATACATTGAAAGTATGGTAGTTATTTGATTGTCTAATGTAGTAATGAGGTAATACATATATTACCACATCACAAATGTATGTTTTAATATTTTAATAACTATTTCAATATAACTGATACCCTTGTAATCCTAAGTATCTTATTTTATGCATTTATATTATCCTGAAGAAGGGAGAATTCCCTTCATAGAATTCATCAGACAGCCATAGGGGACCCTAGGGGAAAAAAAGGGTAAGAAACCCTAAATGATTCTTCTCAGGTCATTCTGACACACTTGTTTGCTGAGAATGGGAAAGTGAGCAAATAGAGACTTGGATGCAATTTCTGATTCTTCCCCGATAACATTACTTCCCTTGCAATTTTAACAGCTAAAAGCTGCTCATCCTTCCACACACAGTTTTACCTCAGGATTATGAAGTAGAGGTGGTAGCCTCATCAATCACCAACTCATCATTTCCAAACTATTTTTTACACTATTCTATAAAATTCAGCCTTCCATCTGTCTGTACTATTCAAAAGTCCTCCCTATCATGTTCATTTAGCAAATTCCTTGCTCACTTCCCCTCACTTAATGATTTTTTTCACGCCTGGCTCACATTCTTCCTCTGCCTCTGTCTTAACAACACCATGTATAGCTTTAACCTCCAAGCAGACAATTATTGCAACATTTCTTGAATTTCTTATATCCAGTGACTCCCTCACCACTCTATCCATTTCACATTCTCATGGACACACCCATGACCTTGTCATCACCAAAACTTACCCTCCCTCTCTGTCCTGGTTTGCACTTCCCCTAGAAGCAGACCTTGAGACTCAACTTCAAGTAATAGAGTTTATTTGGGAATGATCACAAGAAACACCAGCCAGGGAATGCAGAAGTAAGACAGGAAAGAAAAGAAACCAATAAAGGATACATTATCCAATCCATGACCACTGGGGACAACTGGAACTTAATTCCACTGGGGAATTCTAGGAGACAGTGTAGAATACATTTCAGTATTTATTTCAACTTACATACAAGGAAGCTGGGGTCTTCATCCACCAATTCCGCATCTATCATTGGTGGAGGGCATGAGAATTAACACCCAGCATTTCAGATCAAGCAAATAAATCCTTCAGGTGGAGAGTTGCAGACATTTATAGTAAGATGGAAAAATAAGTGAATGGGAGACATAGACAAGGAAATAATAAGTGTATGCCACCCTCCCTGATGAATAATTCCTTACTCCCACCTGTTGACCCATCCCTCTAACTTTGTATAATGATCATTCACACCTCTTTATTGATCATATCAGGACCTCAGTTCTGGATAGGACCTATCCAGTAGAGTCCACTTGGTTTATCTCCATGAAACTTTGTTTTCTAGTCTATCATTTTTACCATCTTCTTGCAAGGATACTAAAATCTCTTTTCCTTTTTTCCTTTTTTCTTTTCCATAAAACTATATAGATCCACTAATAGCTTTTCTGTGCCTAAATTATCTCTCCCCTTTTTTTTCATACCATCCAATCAGTTGCTTCCCTTGTGCTTATGGCCATGTTGCTGAGACTACTAGAAAATGAAAATCATACAATAACACATATTGATGCCACTATAATTGTTTTGTCAAAAACTTCAAATTAGCTTTCAAAAGTGCTGGGCAGGACAGCATTATTGTTTCTAATATAGTTTACTCCCCTAAGATCCCCAATAAATATTTCCAAAATATTTCATTGTTCTTAAACTTCTGGGCTTGTTTCCTCGCCACAACATTCAGCATGACTTTGTCTCCTACTTGACAAAGAAAATTAAACTAGCACATAGGAACAAAGTTATCTTACAACTTCCATAACAGCCAATGTTGCACTATTCTTTCTTTATTCTTTCCTGTGAGAATGGCAATATCACTCCCTCTATATAAGAACATACTCTAGATCCCAGCCCTCTCACCTTACCTTCCCTGTATTTTCATCCTATCCTCTCTCTTAATTTAAACATGCTCAGTCTTTGCCATTTTAAAAATATTCCTAATTGACCCACTTTCCTATCCCATTTTATCCTGAGTCACTTCCCTTATTCTCAACTCCTTACATATAAACTTCTCCTCACCTTTATTTTCTCTCTTCCACTCACTACTGAATCCACTCTACCGTAGATTTTTGCTTCTAGCCTCTCCATTAATATTTTTCTTTTTTAAAAAATATTTTTTAAATATTTCTCTTAATTACAATCAACAGTGAGTCCTATGCCATTAAACCCAAAGTACTATTTTCAGTCCTCAACTTCCTATAGTTCTCCATGGCATTTGGTACTATTAACCCACCTTTTGAAAAGCCCAGTTCCGACCTTCACAATAATCCATTCTCTTAGCTTTACACTCTGTTCATCTAAGTAGCTCCTTCTCAGTGTCCTTTGCCAGTGTCTCAATCTATTCCTAACCATTTAATATTGGAGGATCTCAGGTCTCTGTCCTTGGCCCTCTTGTCTTTCCCAAAATAATTTTATCCACTGCCATGGCATCAATTAACATCCATAGGCTAGTGATTCCCAAATCTTGATCCCCAATGCATTCTACTCTGCTAAGCTCCAAACCAGTATTTCAAATTGCTTAATAGATATCTCCATTTGGGTATCTCATTGGCATCTCAAACTCAGTATTTCCAAAACTGAACTTGTGATCTTCCTCTGCAATTACAGTTCATACAATGACATCAACCCTACAAATGCTCCAGCCAGAGACCTAGAGTCAGTTGACTCCTCCCTTTCCCTCATGCCCACACTTAACTTGTTAAATGATTGTTGAAATTGCCTATTGCCATGCATCCTTACTTACCATTTCCTTAGTCCCTAATATAACTAACACATGAACTGAGGTAACAGTCACCTAACTGGTTTCCCTAAATCCAGTTTTGTCTCTACAATGCACTCTCTGCATTGCAAGGCAAAGAAAAAAAAATTTAATGAAAGTGCCATTCATCTGCCTGAAATCATTCAATTGGTTCTCACTGTACTTATGATCAAGTTAAATCTCCATTCTCTTTACAGGATTTATACGGTCCTATATGATTTGTCTCTTATCCATCTCTTCAGCTTTATCACTTTCCCATATTCTTTCTATTCCAGTTACACAAGTTGTATTCCAGTTCCTTGATCATGTCATTCTCATGGTGACCCCACATGCTGTTTCATCTCCTAGCATCCAGTGTTCATCCTTTCTCCAACTTGCAAATCCTTCAAGATTTACATTACTTCACTTCTCTTCATCTCTTAAAAGAAGCCACCTTTTTCTAACTGAATTGGATCTTTTTATTATCAGACTCTAAAGTATCCTGTAGTTCCTCCTTAATATTAATTTTAAAAATTCAACACCTATCTTCCTGCAAAATGTAGCTCTATGAATGTGGTGGGGTGAGATGGGTAAATATATCTTCTCACTGTATCCCCAGTGAGACATACAATGCATATACATTAGATAAATATTTGTGGACTAGCTTACTAATTGATTGGTTCTAAAATACTTTCCTTGAACATCTTGACTGCAAGTATCAAGATTTTTAAAATTTTTCCATTTAAATTGATCCACTAATCCCACTTCTGGGCATGAAGTCTAAGTCAATATCCCCAAATTAAAGGAAAAGGCTTCCTTTAAAAAAAAAAAAGGAAAAGGCTTAAACTCAAAGAACCTGGAAAATAACAGCATTTATAATACAATAATTAAAACCTCTTAATATCCTATAATAGAAGAATGGGTGAGTAAACCATGGTACATCCATTAAAAAATAGTAGCCATTAAAAAATGAGGTTAACCACGAGTATGAAAGAAAATTTTAAAATACATGAAAAGAAAAATATTTTTATATATTCATAAACGAATATATATTCATTCCATTGTAATATATGAATTTATTTGAATAGTGTGGGTCGCTTGGTGTTTCTTTTGTTTTTGCTATTTTCCTAAAGTCTACAAATTTTCTCTAACTAACATCTATAATGGACAAAAATAACCATTACATTTATATCTTCAATTCCTCTCAAGAGCAGAACACAATGGTCACCAATCTCTTGTAATTAATGACACAAAAACCTGATCTTGACAGAAATTAGAAGGAAAATAGAGAGGCTTTTTTTTATCCTTAGATTGGGTATATATCATGCTGTTTGTTATTATTACCACAGTTGTTGAAATTAGGAAGAAATTGACTTAAGACATTAAATCTTTAAGGTTCCCAAAGGGCTGACAATATTCCCTTATAAATCTTTTTTTTTTTAAATAAGGCTCTGTGCCCAGAGTGGAGCCCAACATGAGGCTTGAACTCACAACCTTGAGGTCATGACCTGAGCCGAAACCAAGAGTCAGACGCCTAACCAATTGAGCTACCCAGGCACACCCTTATAAATCTACTTTTGAAGGTGACTGTGGTTTCTTTATATCAAACAATGGAAACAAAAAAAATAAATAAACTAACAAAGATCATATTTACCATTTCTAAGAAAGTGTGAATGTTCTTAGTCCAGTGGGAAGTGATGAATCTAGTGCAGGCTCTTTGAGAAAGAGGTAAGTGGAGTAGGAAAACCACACTGAGACAATGCAGTTTACACAAATCTTCCATCTCTTGCAGGGCTAAGCAATTACTTTCCCCCTGAGTAAAATAAAGAAGGTAAAATAGAGATCAGCAGGCTATGAAATTGCGTGATACACATGCAGCACCACAAAGGTCGGCAGCCACATTCTGCTTTATTACACTCTTCATTGTATAGGTTTTTGAGTTTTTTTCTTCATGCATAAATTTGGCTGCATATAAAATATAGATGTCAGGTAAGGGGGCAGGGAACTGCCAGCTCAATAACAGTTTACATAAAGCATTTTCTAAGTATTTTTTAGTTAAGCTTAACTTCACATGAGCTGTCCCAGCAGCTAATGAAGTCATGATCCCACAGGACCTTGCAAGGATGGAGCCATCCTTTAAATGCCCTATTCTGTCCAAGGAATCATATTTTAAAAGTTACACTGAATAGTATCAAAGTGAAGAAACCAGGACACATCTAAAAAAAACTTACCCAATTAGAAAAAGGGTAAAGAAATGGGCATATTTAACATGACGGGACAAGGACCTCTTCACCATCCTCAAATGTTTGCAGGGTTGTCACTGGAACAAAACTAAGACTTATTTTGGAGTGCCTCAAGTAGGGCCAAATTGGGTCTAATGACTAGAAATTCCAAAGAGATACACTTGGTTCGGTATCATTTTGTGATAATAATGTAAAATGGCACGCATAGTGACATAAAAGATATTTTACTAAGAATATATTCAAGTAGATATTGGAAAACCAAATATAAAGGATGCTAGGTAAAAGGTAGTAAGTCTTGTTCATTTCGGAGTGTGTACAAAAGTTACAGAAAGCTTCATTTACTTTAATAAAAATTCAGGCAAGAATCCCCAGCAGTCAGATTATATACAAAATGGTATGTGTACACATGTGTGTGTACGTGTGCATATGTACACATATCTATAGGGATGACTATTTAGCTGGACAACAAACGATACTGGCCAACAGATTCTTAATGAACTCTATCAACCATAAAGAAGGTTAACAGCTTTAGTATTTTTCCAGCTAGGATGGCACTAAGACACTACAGCAAGAATGTACAATGGATCGTGGATCACCACATCAAAAACTAATGATGTATTGTATGGTGACTAACATAACATAATAAAAT